GATGCCAATGGAAGCAGCAGTCAAGACATTAGACAATGTAGCATTGGGAAGGTCAACCATGAAGGAACTGTTTCAAGTGCTAAGGAACAAGGATGTCTCCTTGAGGACTAAGGTGCGCCTGACACAGGCCATGATATTTCCAAGTGCCTTGTATGCATGTGAGAGCTGGAAAATGAATAAGGAAGACCGAAGAAGAGTTGATACTTTTGAGTTGTGGTGCTGGTGAAGAATGCTGTTAAGTACCACGGACTGCTAAAAGAACTAACAGATGTGCCCTGGAGGAAGTGCACCCAAAATGCTCCTTGGAAGCAAGAATGGCCAGACTTCGTCTCACCTATTTTGGTCATGTTGTCAGAAGGGACCATTCCCTGGAGAAAGATATCACGCTTAGTAGGGTGGAGGGTCGACAAAAGAGGGGGAAGCCTTCAACAAGATGGATTGACATAGTGGCTGCGATGATGGGCTCAAATATAGCAGGGATTGCGGAGCTGGCGTGGGATCAGGCAGTGTTTCTTTCTGCTGTGCATGGGGTCGCTATGAGTCGGAAACGACTCAACGGCACCTAACAACAAACAACAATGTATATATAGAGACATTTATTTTAGGAAAATGGCTCACACATTTATAGAAGCTGGCAAGTCCAAAGTTCCTGAATCAAACGTCAAGTTGAAGGCTTTTCCCAACTCTTGCAGCTGCAGGGGCTAAGGAGCTCAAGGCTGGCAGGCAGTATACCGGCTGTTGACTCCAACAAATGATGAATCCAGTATCTCCTGGCCAAATGGTGGATTGTTCACTCACGGATAGTTGTAGGCAGCACAACAGAAAACTGATCCACAGAACAATGTCTCTTTTCCCGGAATGTCCACAGATATACCTGGAAGCAGGTCACATCCCTAGAGAAACTCCCTTTCAACAGATTGCCTGCTCAAAACATATCATCTGATCCCATCATGGGAATAACCACATCACAACAGGTTAAAACACACAGAATTGTGGTCCAGCCAAGTTGACAGACAACTCCCAACTATCACACACTTTACTAGCCTAGTAGTTGGAGATTTGAACACAGCTAGGGGCACCTTGGAAGAGGCCTGGTGATCTGCTTCTAAAAGCCAAAGCCTTGAAAACTATGGAGTTCTATTCTACACACATGGGGTCACCATGAGTTGGAATCAACTCAATGACAACTAACAACAGTTTTGTATATACAGGGCTTGAACTGTTAAAAGTGTGACAACTTTTAAGATGTAGATGATATATTGTTTTTAATTTTAAATTTTTATTGAAGTGTAATATTTCATAGAAAAGTACAGATATTTTAAGTGTACAGTTCCATGAATTTTCAACTGTAAAAGGCGTGAAAATATTAACCTTTACAGCATGCATCATATCTAGCAGACATTCAATACGTTTGCCGAATGAACGGTACAGATGAGGCTCTGCTGTCTACATTACACGGGTAAAGGCAGTGCTGGCCTTATTCAAGTCCAGTGCTTGTCCCAAGCTCTTTCCTTGTCACAGCTGTGTGGGATCAGATGAGATTAATGTATCCCTCTTCAATGCCTTGGAAGTAGAGAAGCCCATCAATTACTTACTCCTGATATTTTATTGGGGGAAGAATAGAAGTTTAAAATGAGAAAATTGATTAAAATTAGGTTTTCTTCACCTCAGCCTGTGTAATAGAACCCTAACTGCAGAATAATTTACTTCATTAGTTCTCCTTTGACTAAAGGAACTAAGAATATAATCTGACCATATGCACTTTAATAGTGCCATCATTTTTTTCAATTATTCAAGTGTTTTAAGACAATAGAATCAATGAAGATTTATTCTTTCCTCTGCTCTAAACATCCACTGTTCATTTGAATTGTAGACCTAGACAATGGGAAGGGAGCATGGCGGCCTTATCCTGAGCATTAGGTGGTCTCAGCATTTATAAATTCCACTTTTCACCCAGTTTACATTCTAAGTCCAAAATACTGGTTGATGCTGGTCTTAATATGTAAAAATGACAGTCTGAAATCCATTTCTCCAAAACCTGCCACTTACTTAAAAACTCAGCAGTGTATTTAAGGCTATGAGATAAGCGCCTGTGTCCTTGTTCTCTAGACAAGCTTTTCACCAGGGATATATTGGAGACGAGCTGATGATAGGCAGGCCCCATTGTCCAACAGTTTGGGCCACTGATGTTGGTATAAGTGGCTGGCTATCCCTTCAGTAGGGATTTGCTTGAGTTCTTGTTGCTCCAAGCTCTGGCTTGCTGAGATGGGTGTGACAGAATGAGAACCATTGCCATGTTCTATGAACACCACACTGTGTACGAAGGTACAGTGTCAACTGACTTGGGCACCAAGTCAGCATACAAGACCAAGTACCTAATCAAGCTCTGAAGCTACAGGATACAGCTCCCTCATGTGCAGATCATACACAATTACCCAAGGTGTGTAGTGAAAATGAAAACTCCCCACCCATTCCTGACCTACTAAATCACATACCTTATGAAGGGAAGAACATATCAATCTGAGTTTAAAGGATGCTCCTTGAATTACTGGTGCACGTAAGTTTGAAAACTGGTATCTAGTACAGGACATGATCTATGATGCCCTGTTAACAGTTCACACTCTAAACACCTGTAGAGGCAGCCACTGAGGAATGAGACTTTTGTCTTCAGTCCATCAAACAGCATGGGCAGGACAGCAAGTTCTTGGTTTATCTTTACTGATCAATAGGATCCAGGGGACAGGAACCTTTTCTGTACTGTGATGTCCGTTCCTCGTGCCACACAACAGTGTCATGCCTTAACCAGAGCCAGGCTAGCATTAGCCAGGAATAGGTGGGTCACCTAAATATTAGTGCCTAAGTGGCCTTGTTTGATCTCAGCAATCTTCATCTCTCAAGAACTCATTCATGTGACACACTACCAGATGTGTTCACCCGCAATCACCAAATCAGTGAGGTTCAAGTTCTCCCAGATTAGAGATGTATGCTTTTCTCTGAATCCACTGGAACTACCACAGGAGAGGGTATCTTATGCCTAAGGTTTATTCCCTATGATGTTTTGCATGGAGAACACTTAGTTCTACTGAACATGTTTGGGCAGGGATCATCATTACTTTGACAGAAGAAAACTGAGGTCACAGGTTAACTGGCAGCTGCACAGTACGGTGATGGGGGGGCAGCCCACACAGATCAATTTTCTTGCTCAAGTACAGAGGAGTGTACTGCAGACCACAGGCCAAGCACGTGAGGTGGGGCTTTAAACCTTGGACTAAAACCAATCCTGAGCCCTCTGGGATACCTGGTAAGTGCACTAAGGATGTACACATGAAGTCAGCTTGATAACACAATCCTGCTGGGGAGTGGGTAAAGTGCGTTTATTTTCTTCTTTATGTGTTTTTTTAAAAAAAGAAAAAAGGAAGAAAAAGCTGCCTCCCCTTCTAGTACCCAATGTCCACTGGGCTTGGAGGGTGTGGAGCCGGGGTCAGTCCCCTAGGAGAAGGTGTAGGAATAGAAGGCAATGGCATTGACGTTGTAGTCCATGGGAAGGAGGTGACCAATGTGCCTGGCCCCAAGGCTGGCCCCACCCAGGGCCGAGGAATGCCTCAGCTTCATTAGGGTGAAGCTGGAGAAACAGTTCTGAGCCTGGATCTCTCTGCCCTGGGTCAGCGCCAAAAGGAAACCTGGAGGGAAAGAATGTAGAGGACAGAGATGAGGGAAGACCAGCGTCTGTGGTGACCAGAAAGATGGTGGGGGCAGAGGGACAGACGGAAGGAGCCTGGACCCCGAGCATGCCAGTGGAGGTCTTAGAGGAACATCCATGCCAAATCTCCAACACATGGTGCACCAGGGCACATGAACCCAGTAACAGCTAAGAGGGTCACTGGAGCCAGCAGCTCCCCACTCATCCGTAGGGCACCCAATGTGAGAAACTCCAAGGAAGCAATGGGATTTTTGAGCTACTTCAGAATGTCTAAAGGAAACCATACAACTGCCTGAAATAAAGCTGCAAGGGCAAAGAAGTCCTGTTCCATTCCTTTTAGCTAGGTTTGTGTTGACTAGGGATGTGACCACAGGTTGTATCACACATTAGTCAGAACCTGATTTTAAGTGAGATTTGTCTTTAATTTTAATAAAGTGGTTATTTAATAAATCCTTTGGCAAAGACAGCTTTTTAAGAGTCTATGGAAAGTGGGATGGACCATGGTATAAGGGCTTATTGGCAGATGGAAGGCTGAGAGCCTTGGCCTAAAGAATCAGCCACTAGACCAAGCCTTCAGGCCCCAGCCTCTTGCTAAGAGCAGACAACAAACTCAGCTCCGAGCTCTCCCGGTGTAGTAGCTTTCCTGGACTACCTCCTTCTCAGCCCCAGCCCCTAGTCATCCTCTCCTCTCCCACACCTCCAAACTCACCTTCCTTCAGCAGCTCCCAGCTTTTCCACACAGAGCCCACACACAGGATGGGGAGGCCAATCTCCCCTTGGAACAAGACCTAAGCAGAGGACAGAAAATGGATGCTGGGGGCTGACCAAGCCTCTCTAAGACTGGAGGGGATAGCTTCCTAAGACTAACCTACTCTATCCCAGTTACTCTCCCTCAAGCTAAGAACCAGAGGTAGGCTCAAAGCAAGGAAAATGGGAAGAACACAGAGGAGACTCAAAAACACAAGGGAGAAAAGGGAAAGGAAAATGATTAAGTAACAACACAGAAGAGGGAAAGAGAGAAGGGAGAGGACAAATGAGAAAAGGAGTGAAAGACAAGGGGGCAGTGCCTGAGACTGCAGGACCTGTCAGAGAGGAGACACTTGAGATACTTTTTCATGCTACAGACTTTCTATAGAATTTTTCTCATACCCTCAATTCATTTTAAAATAGTATCTAATTTAAATAGGGTTTGTGGGATCAGTCCCATCCGTAATGGAAAAGAGCCAAACCTGGCCCAGCAGCTTCATCTCCCACCTCAACTCACCGGGTCAATCTCAGGCAACACAGCTACGACATGTCTGCCCAGCATCTCCCCAGCTTTCCTGAAGACGTACCGGGAGAGGGGGTCTCCCTGCTGAGCACCTGGGGTGGGGAAGAAGGAAGATGAGGGGGAGCTGGTGAATACCTAGCGAGCATCAGTCCCCGGTTACTCCCTCCCTTGGCTGAAAGGCAATTACAGTGGAGTGCCTGTGGCTAAAAGAAGGCTCGATCAGGAACAGATGCCCACTGTGTGGCATGGGGGAAAATAAGCCTCCAATGCAGCCACTCTCCCCTTCCCCACTCCCACTGGAGGAGGGGCAGCCCCCACCAGGGGAGCACCCAGGGGTATGGGTTTGTATCCCAACTTACACTGAGTTATTCTGTCTGTCCTTCAACTCTGGGGGTTCCAGGACTGTGCCTGAGCAGCTGACTGGTACTCTTGTCTGTGCCTCACATCTACTTACAAGTCTACTGTTGGAAACCCTTACTTGCTCTGTTGCAGGTGGCACAAGAGCAGGCCCTGCTCTGGAGAGTCTTAGTCCCACAGGCTCTTAGAGCCCTTGAACAAATGCCCTGAGGCTGCAGGGTTCCAAATCAAGCAAGTATATACCTTACAGTGAAAAAGAGCACTGTGCAGATCCTAAGTTTGCTTCTCCTGACTCCCAACAAAATATGCATAACCTCTCTCCATAATCCCTTAGTTCGTTGGATATAAGGTGTTTTTTTTCCCCCAATTAAAGTTATAGATTTGTCCAAAAAACATCCGCTTCACAAATTTCTCAAAAAGAGACAAGCAGCCTACATAAGCTTTGGTGGCTGTCAAGATAAACACAGGTAATAAAAACAATACAACCCGCATGCCCTTCTGCTTCCACCCAAGGCCCACCACCACCAAGGCCCATGGAACTGAGGGTACTTGGTCAGAGGGAGCTTGACTTCCAGTTCCCATCCAAACCCTGCTCCACTCTAATTAAGGAGGTCCCTGGGAAACAAAGCCAGCTAACACCCTGCCCCACCTCTAGTACCTTCTGCAATTTTCCGGCAAAATCCAGCAAACCTGCATTTATCAAAGTCCCGATACAGATGGCTGAGGATTCCTAGCCGATCTGGCACCTGAGAGAAAGAAAGAGCATGCACAGATAATCATTAGAAACAAAAGAGAACCTCTAGTCTTCACCCAAGTTGGCCTTCCTATCGGTACTATTAGAAAAGTTGGAATCTTTTTTTTTTTTCAGATTAACTCTAGAAATTTTAAGCGTTTAAGATTTCTTATTGGAGGAAAGTTGTTTTCCCAACATGGACTCCACTGCTTCTTACTGATTAATTTGGAAGGAGCACAGAGTACAGATCTGTATTTCCCCAACTGTGTTCTATATAGCTCTTTAAGGTGCTCTTAGAAAGATTTCTTTGGTCAAAGGAGTTTGAGGATATTGCACATTGTCACACCCCCTTGGAAAGTCACAATGTACATTAGCAAATTAAAGGCTCTGAGAAGTCCTACAACCAAGAAATCCGTTTACTGTTGTTTCTCCCAAACTTACTTGACCATAGAAGGCCTATGCCATCCATCCCAACAAACTTACAAACCTTAAAAGGTCCTCAGAACCACTGATTCTCCAGAATATATTTTAGTAAATGGAAGGAGAGGCTAAAATTTGAGCACCCATAGCAATGTACTAAACATTGTATGTGCCGTCAAGTGCTATTATTTAATAAAGTGTATTACTTAATTAAGTGTATTACTTAATCTATGACAACTCTAGAAGTTGGAAAGTAGACTGAAAGATGGAAGAGGGAGTGGTAGATATTGTTAGTGGAGTTTAGAACCAATTTGCTGAGTCAGGAGAGTGTTACTCTACTTCCTAAAAACCAAATTCACTGCCACCGAGTCAATTTGACTCATAGCGTCCCCTCCTTAGGTTTCCAAGGAGTTATCTCTACGGGAAGTACATTGCCCAATCTTCCTTCCATAGAGCGGCTGGTGGGTTTGAACCACTAGCCTTCTGGTTAGCAGTCAAATGCCTTAGGCACTATGCCACCAGAGCTCCCCTGCTTCCTAAAGGAGGTAATTTTTCTTCCAGGTCTGTCACTATTCCTCTTCCTGACCCAGGCCTAAGTTACTTGTTAATCACTAATCCCTGAGCCCTGAGAACACAGATCTTAATTTTCTAGCATCTTCAATCTCCCTCCTGACCCCAGTGCCAGCTCACCTAAGTGGGTGGACAGCAAGACTAACTGGCTCTCACTCAAGAGAGAGGTCTATCAAATAAACATATCTTCCTTTTCCTCCCTTTTCCACCTCTCCCACCTTTTACCTCTGGTTCAGCTAAAACTGTTTCCTAACAAAAGAACAAAACATAGACAAGAGGAAATCTCAACTCCTATGCTCTTAGTAGAAAGTGCCCATCCCCCAAGAACTCTCCCTACCCACCTCTTATGGGCCCTCCTTCCTAACACATTCAGGCCAGAACTGGCTATTATTCAACATACTTGTTCCAACTTTACCTGCTGTCTCTGTCCTGCTGCACTGGCTCCTGACCTCACCCTGCATTTTCCATCCCAGCCTAGGAGACCATCTGCCTTCATTTTCCAGGGGGGGTCTAGTTGCCCAAGAATAAAGTCCATCTAATCACTTACCCGCAACCCACCCCATTCCTGTGCCTAGCACCCTTCTGGAATGCACTGTGTCATTCCGAATCCTCACCTACTGACTTCTCCAGCCTCCAGCTCCAACTCCCCTCAACATCCTTTACCCAATCGGCCCTATCCTGCATCTACTCCTGTCCTTCCCCAAGTGTGCCTGACCACTGGGGGTAGGGAACATACCTGGAAATAGTTGAACATGGCCTGTTTGACATAGCCAATGTCATGTGGTGCCGCCTCCAGATTGTCAATGGAGTCAAACACTATTTTCACTGCTTGGTGTGCAATCCAATAGGCTGTGGAGAGCAGAAAGGACTAAGAAGATGGGGACAATCTTTCCAAGCTCACATCTAGATAAGGTTAGTAGTCTACTTGAATTCTACAGCAAATTAGGTTTCCTGATTCCCAGCCCCCTAATCAAACTATATCTGACTGACCCAGATAGGGGAAAGCTAGAGGGGGAGACAGACTAGGTAAGGCTGTGTCACACCAGCATCTCCTTTAAGATGAAGACAAGGTCAGTGAGCTGCCCAACAAACCAGTGGAGTCACCACTGGGAAGTGGACCCCAAGAACCCCCATGAAATTATACACATGCCATCTATAAAGAACAGAGTCTTTGGGTGGCACAAACAGTTAAGTGCTCAACTATCAGTCAAAAGGTTAGCAGTTCAAACCCACCCAGAGGCACCTTGGAAGACAGGCAGGCAATTTGCGTCTGAAAAGTCACAGCCGTGAACACTTCTACTCTGCACACATGGAGTCCTACAAAAAGGTGAGTGTGGGAGGAGTCTCTATATCCCTTTCCCACTAGCAGACTGGTACAGCATGGCCTGGCATCTATGGCCTTCTATGTACCTTCTTAGTTTCAACTCTTTCCTGGATGCCAAAAGTCCACCACAGCACTGAGCTGAGGGATGGTGCCAGTCACTGCAAAAGAATGGGCCTGAGCATTTGCATATCTATGGTCTCCCAGTCATTATCTTGGGCCCATCAGTCAGGTTCTGGAGCTGTCCCAAAGAACCCCAGGAGTTCAGGGAGTCAAGGGTAGAATAGAAGAAAAGAAGGGTCCAGGACCCTAAACCCAGCCCAGGCTGCGTGACCTCACCTGAGCCCTCGTCCCCCATCATGTGGCCCCAGCCACCACAGCCGCTCTCAGAGCCATCGGGGTTGATGAGCCTGCAGTTGGAGCCAGTCCCAGCAATGAGCACGAGCCCACCTAAAGAAAGGGCACAGAAGGCTCAGTGTGGCCAAGGCCCAACCCAACACACATAACCTTGGATCAAAGGCAGGACAGACACCAGCCCTGGGAAAGGGATCCCCACCTAATCTCACAGAGAAACTGAGCCCAACTAGTTTCCTGCCCAAAGGTGGAAAGCCTGGGTCTCAGAGAAACACCAACCATGTAGAACCCTTCTCTAGGGGACAAAAAACACATATCTGTGACTCCTCACCCAGCCAGCTTTCAAATACTGACTCTACTTGCTTTTCACTGAGTGCTGTGTCTAGGGATTGGGCCAGATCCAGTCCACTCAGTAGTGATACTCACTCAATATCCTGAACCACCTCATGAATACAATTAGCCCCATTTCAAATGTGAGGAAATTGAAACTCAGAGTTAAGTAACTTCAAGCTGATAGAGCTGGCAAGTAGGAACTGGGCTTCAGATGTCAATCTCATGGTTCCGACACTCTAACAGAGCTCCTTTCCCTATCCTCCCTAGCCTGCCTTCATCACTCCACTGCCACCACAGGCTCCCTTCTGCCCCTGGGTCTGCAGATTCTACTCCACTACTTGCTTCCCATCAAAATGACCTTTCTTCCCTCCCTCCTTAAGCCCTGTCCTGGCTCTGAAACAGTTAAGCTAAAGAACGGAGAATAAGGGGGAAAATATGATGGAGGCTGCCTTCCAGCTACTTGGAAGGCAAGTTTTACCAGCTACATCTAAGGTGCTTCCCAAAAAAAACCCAGTTCTCAACCTCACCCCTCCTTCCACCTCCTCACCATCCGGTGTAGCTGTGGCGATGGAGCCAGCCGCGTCAGTGGTGATTAAGTAGCTTTCACTCAGGTAAGGAAATCGGTCCCTCAGCTCCTCCATCAGAATCCTCACCGCGTCCTCCTGCTCCCCACCGCTCAGGGATAGGCCCTAGGCCACGCGGGAGGTGAACCAGTGAGGAGTAGGGCCCCAGACCCAACTCCTTTCTCAACCCCCTCCCTCCTAATGCCTGTCTCCGGCTCTCCACATCTGGGCTTTCCCTGCTTATCCAGCCCCAGTACTCCTTCTACCCCACACAGTAACTTCTCAAAAGTCTGTGGCTGAGACAAGGGCCTGGACTGGGGATGGACAAAGGAGGATTCAACAATGTCAGGTTTGGAGCTTGGAAAGGCAGAATTTTACCAACAGAAAAATCACACAGAGGAGCACGCTGAAGGGAGATGGAGAGACAGGCCATCTATCTGTAACGCACAGGGCTGGCTGTACCTGCAGAACATCTCACTGGGGATATGCCCAGGGTGTAGCCAAAGCTACGATAACTTGGGAGAAAGAGCCGAGCTGGGAATACTACTAGCAAACATTTAATGAGCGCTTATGAGTCTGGCTCTATGCTAACCACTTTCAGATGTATCATGTCATTTTACTTCCTAAACTCAGAGGTAGCTGTTATTATCTTCATTTTCCAAACGAGGCAACTGAGGTTTAGAGAAAGTACGTAATTTGCTTAGGGTCACAAAGATAGTGAGTGGCAAGGCTGAGATTAAAACCATAATCTCAATGGCTCTCCAAAGCCTTATGCTTTTCCAATCCATTTGTGGCTCACAAGCAGCAACTGAAGCCACAGGAATAGATGAGCTCATGTGTGAGCTTCTAGACTGGGGACTAAGCCTGAAGGCCACTCCTATAGCTACTGAATTTAGGTAATCCAAACTTGCCACTGATCACTGTGGCACTGATGAATGAACTCCCAGACTCTACCCCAGACTCACCAAGCTGCGTAGAGGTACCAGAGGATCCACTCCTGCTTTTCGCTTGGCCCTGTTCACCATCTCGTTGATCCTCTCCACACACTTGTCTGTCCCGATCAGCTGACGCCAATCAAGGGAAGGAGTTACAAAAGCTTGCAGTACCTATGTTGCCCCTACAAGCTGCTCTATGAGCACCATCTACCATCACAAGTAGGGTTACAAAGAATAAAACCACAACCAAGCCCACTGGTCCCCTCAGTGCGGCCTTTACCCAGTGGTTTGTGTGGAGTCCATCCGCTTCTGCCAGGATTTGTCCATCCTCAGAGAGTAAAAGGACCTTGGACCGTGTGCCTCCCCTAAAGAACACAAGGGGGCACTCAGTCCTGCTCAGAAAAGTCTGCAGAGGCACAGCCAAGCTTTTGCAGCCCTTGTCGCAGAGCCCAGAGTGATGAAGTCAGTTTCAGTAAACCCAATTACTATTCCCAAACCCACTTCTGTGGTTTGATGTTTGCTGTGCTGTTAAACTGAACACAGTTCTCACTCATCTTCCTCTAAGAATGTCCTACTTATCCTTCAAGACCTCTTATATACTATCTAGTTCTCAAAACCTTCCCACTCCTATACCGCCATTAGTTAAAGCTTTTCAGTGCCCCATAACTGGATTCCTCTGTATGGAGTATAATTAGATCTTTTTTTTTTTTTTTTTTTTAAATCTGCCTCTCACTAGACTATGAACTCCATTGGGACAAGTTCTGTACCATCCTTCTACCCTCGTGCCTAGCCCAAAACCTGGCACAGGGCAAGGCCTGGTAAATGTGGCTAAAGAAAGTATCACCTCTGCTTTTCTCACAATAGCTAAAGGCTCCCTTTCAAGATCCAGCTCCAGCTGCCAAAGTCTTCAAGATATTCTTTGACCAGAGTCAGGACAAGTGGGTGAGTTTATACCTACTTAACCAACTAAACCCTCACATGCTATTACTGAGACCAATGATAATTTGGAAGGAGGTCTGTGGTGGCATGATATATGGTTTTGTATTGGTCAGCACTTTTAGGAATGTTTTAGAAGAGGACAGTGGAAACTGCTGCTCAAACTCAAATGACATAAAGTTTGAGGGGCAATTAATACCTAAGGTGGCAAATTCAACATCCAAAAGAATCTCATTAAGAGCTGGGAAAATGGATCAGAGCCTGCAGTAATAGGGGTGAGTGCAAGCTCCCATACCTTTGTTTTTTAAAAAAGAAAAAAAAAAAAGCAAGTTATAGGATTTATCAACTTTAACAGCAATAAACAGAAATAATTACTTTGAGGTACTTAAATCACAGTGAGTTGTGGCTGCCAGAGAAATGAATACAATCTTTGACTGAAAAGTACAGTGCCCTGGCTGAAAATGACAGTCACCTTCTATCATGGCCTGATTTGACACATCGAGATTCCCAGAATGTGCCACTGGCAGGGGACTTGGCAATCATCTTGTTCTTCCTTTCCTTCATTTTACATATGTGATAACTGAATTCCAGAGAGATCAAAAGTCTTGCCCATAATACTGAGAGGCAGAGCTACTGAAAAAGTAAACAAGCTTCTGAACAGGAAAAATGCCATAATAATAAAGGATTCAATCTAGTTTGAGGAGCAGAGAAGGGGGGAGGGTGTTCCTGTATCAGGGCAGGCAATTGCATTCTGCCCTACTGCTGCTTCAGCTCTGTCCCGGGGTCCGCCCCACTCTCATCCCCCTGCTTGGCAACTTCACTGACACCTGTTCTGCAAAACTCTCCGGGGTCCGCAATAGGGCAAAGGAGCTGCTTCACCCGAGGGTGACGCCAAAGGGGGCCGTAGTGGGAAAAATAGGCGTGGTTCCGCCGAGAAACACAAAGGACACCCCCCGGGGTGTGGCCGGGGCAAGCGAAGATCCCCTGAAAGGCAAACATCCGCACACGCAAGGACATGCCTGCGCGTTCTCATACCCTCCTCCTGAAAACCCCACATCCCAAAACGACTGGACCTTTAGACCCGGGGCCACCTCCCTGCGGGCCTGACTACAGCCCTTCGCCCCGCGCTCAGGCCTGGGCTGGCCCAGGCTGCTTGCAAATGACAGGACAGGCCAATCCTCTCGTGCTCCCTCCACCAGGCCGCACTCACCCCTCTACACCCCCGTAGAGCGCGGCCATGCTGCTGCTACCACCGCCGCTGATCCCGCCGTTTGCTTCCCTCCTGCTACCTTCCTTCTATTCCTTTTGGCACCGCCCCGCATCACGGGACAGCCAGCTGACTCGCAGTGCGCGTGCGCGGGGTGTGGCTCCACAAGCCAGCACTCGCCCTGGACCCTGACCAGTCCAGGTGAATCCTCCAGACTCGGTGGGTGCAGTCCGCAGTGGCTCCTACGAACCCCAGCCACCCCTCTCCCCACCTACTATATTCTGCTTCCGGAGATGGATACTGGATTCCAGGCGGAGGAGCCATAAAGAGGTGTCCAGTTTGGACGCGCTGGATACGTCACTGGCCTTCCCGCCCTTTAGCGCCCGAAAGTTACTAGCCGCCCAGCCTGGCGCGTGCGCACTGCTTGTGAGCCACGTACACAGTTGGTGACGCACACAGTGACTCGCGCGCCACCAGACCCCCACGAAGATGTGCGTTCTGTGAGCAAACGCAAAAACCAGGGCGATCCTGGGCCTCTTAAAAAATTACTGTCATGTTCCACCCAACATCTACTTGATGAGGGGAAAAATGATATTTCAGACAAACACCCGCGCAAGTCTGCACTCAAGTGAATATCCGCACCCAGGAATACATGGAAGTTGTTTGGGATGGGAAAAAGTCCTGGAGGCTGTCCTTGCAGTCCTGAGAAGAAAACTTTCAGCTTTTACTCCTCACCCAGACTACTTTGTGGAGGGCGTTTGCTGGTACTACTGATAGAGCTACAGAGTTGATAAGGTTTTGTTGTTGTTCTGTGCCCTCAGTGGGATCCGACTCATAGCGACCCCTCCTTAGGTTTCCAAGGCAGTATCACTACGGAAGTAGATTGCCCCATCTTCCTTCCTTAGGCACTGCGCTACCAGAGCTCCCTGATAAGGTTTTTTTGTTGTTGTTGTTAAGTGCCCTCCAGTCGTTTCCAACTCATAGCGACCCCATGCACAGCAGAACGAAACTGGCGCCAGCCCCACAATCCCTGCTCTACTTGAGCCCATCATCGCAGCCACCGTGTCAATCCATCTCATTGAAGGCCTCCCCTTCTTTCGTGACCCTCCACCCTACCAAGCATGACATCCTTCTGCAGGGAATGGTCCCTCCTTACAACATGACCAAAGTAGGTGAGACAAGTCTGGCCATTCTTGCTTCCAAGGAGCATTCTGGCTGCACTTCCTCCAGGACAGATCTGTTCTTTTAGCAGTCCATGGTACTTTCAGCATTCTTCACCAGCACCACAACTCAAAAGCATCAACTCTTCTTCGGTCTTCCTTATTCATTGTCTAGCTCTCACATGCACACGAGGCGATTGGAAATATCATGGCTTGTGTCAGGCGCACCTTAGTCCTCAAGGAGATATCCTTGCTCCTCAGCACTTGAAACAGTTCCTTCGCAGTTGACTTTCCCAATGCTACACGTCATCTAATGTCCTGACTGCTGCTTCCGTTGGCATCGATTGTAGAACGAAGCAATGTGAATTCCTTGACAACCTCAATGTTCTCTCCATTTATTGTGATGCTGCTCATTGGTCCAGTTGTGAGGATTTTTGTTTTCTTTATGTTGAGACGTAATCCATACTGCAGACTGTATTCTTCAACCTTCATCAGGAGGTGCCTTAAGTCATCCTCACTTTCAGCAAGCAAAGTTGTATCGTCTGCATATATCAGGTTGTTAATGATTCTTCCTCCAATCCTGATACCACGTTTTTCTTCATATAGTCCATCTTTTCGGATTATTTGCTCAGCATATAGATTGTATAAGTATAGAGAAAGGATACAACCCTGACGCACTCCCTTCTTGATTTTAAACCATGTAGTGTCCCCTTGTTCTGTTCGAATGACAGCCTCCTGGTCCAGGTACAGATTCCTCATGAGTACAATCAAGTGCTCGGGAATTCCCATTCCTCTCAATGTTATCCATAATTTGTCATGATCCACACAAATGCCTTTGCATAGTCAGTAAAACACAAGTAAACATCTTTCTGGTATTCTTTGCCTTGAGCCAAGATCCATCTGACAACAGCTATGATATCCCTTGTTGCACGTCCTCTTCTGAATCTGGCTTGAACCTCTGGAAGTTCTCTGTCAATATACTGCTGCAAACATTTCTGAATTATCTTCAGTAAGATCTTACTTGCATGCGATATTAATGATATTGTTCTATAATTTCTATATTCTGTGGGATCGCCTTTCTGGAATGATAAGGTTTTAGAGGGCCTTTATTGCCTCAGGCCGCCACACCCCTATCTTAGTTACCCAGTGCTGCAGTAAAAACCTATCCCTCCTGTATATTCCCTATCACATAGTGATTTATTTACTCTTGTGAGTTACAGTGTAGTGTTTCAGGTCCATGTAAGTAGGAGAAGAGGTAAAGACTTCTCTCTTCCAGCTTAAAAACACATGTATGCCAAATGTTCATAACGATTTGCTGTAACACAAATACCATAAGCTTTAAAGAATAGAACTTTATTTTCTCACAGTTCTGGAGGCTGAAGTCCAAATCAGGATCTCGGCAGTGTGGATTCTTTCCTTGTGGGTAGCCCCAGGAGCGTTCCTTGATTCTTTGGCTTGTAGACAATCCCCACACAACTCTCTCCTCCATTATGTGCATGCTTCTGTGTCTAATGTACTTTCTATTACTCAGAAGAGATTAGATTTAGAACCCATTCTATTCAGGTATGATCTAATTCATAGAGCAAAGAAAATACTATTTCCAAACAGGATTACATCCACAGGTATAGAGGGCTAGAATCCCAACACATTTTTAGGAGGTGAGGGAAGGCAATTTAATCCATAACATTCCATTCTTAAACCAAAAAAACCAATACTCATTGCCATGGAGTTAACATGGCATATAGTAATTTACCATTTCCAAGCTCTTTGATATTTAAATCCCATGCTATGATCAATTTAAAGAAGAAAATGGTATTCAATAAAAGATTAATAAAACTATACATTTGTATTGTACATTATAGTTCTATAAGGCTCTTTTAGGTATGTACCTTCATCGTGGTTGATCATCCTAATAGCCTTTGAGAAAGGCAGAGATTTCTAACTACATATTATAAGTGAAGAAACGAGACACTGAAATAAAAGTAATTAGCGTAGGTTCACAGAAGCAATAGAAGTTGATTATTATGGATGTGGGTGTTTACTGTAATGGTAAGGAAATAGAGATGTTGCAATGCAGATAGCTCTGTAAAAGTTTAATGCTCTTTTGCTCTGAGCTTGCAACATCCCAGCCCAGCAGCTGCTTGGAAAATCCCTGAAGAATCTACAAGCCACAGACTTGTTCTGTCTTCTCTACATTGTCCCTGTGACCTCAGGGAGGTGTTATTTGCTGGGGTGAGGGGGGTGTAAGGTAGACAGTGGGAAAATTATCTTCCTTCCCAAATTTTCTTATGATTTGGGGTCAGGACTTTGGACACCAAGGTTCTCAACAGATTATGTTGAATTAGTTCATGAAAACACAAGCACATCTGATTTCATTCAAAACTGTATTTCCAGGGCTAAACCCAGTTCTGGGCACATAATAGAGACTCCATACATAGTTTTGAGAGTGCTTGTTAAGTGCAAAGTACTATTCCACAAACATAAGGGGTAGTAAATACCCCACTGTAAACTCAAGGAGGGAGCAAGGAAAGTCCATGGCAGAGACAATTTGAAGATCCAATTGGGGAGAGATGAAAGACCTGGTGATCTACTTCTGCAAAATCAGGTACTTAAAACTCTATGGAGCACTGCCCTACTTTGACACACATGGGGTCACCATGAATCAGAATTGACTGGCTAGCAATTGATTGGTCATATATTTACTTATATATTTGAATTTGTCTTTATATATGGTTCAAAGTGAATGAATGTACTGGTGCACTTATTTGAGATAACGTCTATGTCTTTTTCTGTACCAGCATGTGTGTACATGAGAATTAGAATTTCAGTTCTTAAAAGAATCTAAGCAATCCTGTATATCTAGTCACCTTTGGGCAGGTGCATAAATGTGAAAGTGTAACATGTAGTGTTCAGCTGGAGCCAGCTTGCTCAAGAAAAGACAACTGTTAATGCTTCTTTCCAACACTCTTTCAGGATGTCAGTAGTTTGAAATCACTATAGTGGAAGTGTTTATACCATGTTGTTGTGTTACGTGCTGTGGTAGTTCAGTTGGTGTGTCAACTTGGCTGGCCTAGTTGAGTGGCTGGGCAGCTGGTGGTAATTACTCCCCATGATGAGACTGGCAATCAACTCCATGGTAGGATCCACCACAAGCAGCTGAGTAGCTGCTTTGGGTATGTGGTCTGCTTCCTGTATATAAGCAGAAGCCTTGGGGAATGGTCTCGAGTTCATGGCACGCTTGGACACTGTATGTAGTCGTGTTGTTGTTCAGCAGCCGCCATGCTCTGCCAACCTTGGGACTTTCAATGGACTTGAATTAATGGCCTGCTGTGTGATTTGGTAATTTCAAGGCTGTGTGCCTTTTTACTTGTCAGCCCTGGGCTTGGCAGCCTCAGCAGCCAGCAGCTGTCTCAGTGAAGAAAAACCTCTAGCTCCAGTAGGCCAGGAGCAGAAGGCAGAGCTGAACCCCAAGGTTGAGGAGCCTTCACCCAGCCCCTAGAGATTGGCACTTTGAACTTGGACTTAAAGCCTCCAAATTGTAAGAATAAACTCCTGTTTGTTAAAGTCATCCCATTTGTGGTATATTTCTTGTCAGAGTGGCACTAGGTAACCAGAACACGTGCCATCAAGACAGCTCAGGCTCATAGCAACCTATGTACAACAGAACAAAACACTGCCCAGTCCCGTGCCATCCTCACAATCCCTGCTATGATGGAGCCCATCATGGCAGTCACTGTGTCAATTCATCTCATTGAGGGTCTTCCCCTTTTTTGCTGACCATCTACTTTATCAAGCATGATATCCTTCTCCAGAGACTGGTCCCTTCTGACAACATTACTAAAGTAGGTGAGATGAAGTCTGGCCATTCTTCCTTCTAAGGAGTATTCTGGCTGCACTTCTTCCAGGACAGATTTGTTCGTTCTTCTGGCATTTGGTGCCATTTTCGGTATTCTTCGCCAACAACACAATTCAAAGGCATCATCT